TCCATCCATCCATCCATCCATCCATCCATCCATCCATCCATCCATCCATCCATCCCTCCCTCATCCCAGCCCCACCAGCGCTGTCCTACCTCTGTTCCCATTCCCGAGGATCCTTGGGAATCCTGGGCACAGGGAGCTCTCCCTCTGGAACCCTCTGGATTGGCTTTGTTGGATTGCCCCGTGCATGTGGATGAGTTTGGGGGGAGAAGGTGGATCAGAATCCATCCCTGGATCCCAACTCATGGAATCGCTCCTTCGGATTGCAGATCCACGACCAAAGGGAAAGAGAAAAAACACCTGGTGTTGCCGTTCAGGTATCCCGAATTCCCTGATCCCTGATTCCCGGGGCACCCTCCGGCTCTGCGCTCCAGCCCCTGGGAGCAGCAGCAGGGCAGGACCGTGAGTCCATTTTTCCGAGGAAAGTGCTCCAAACCGAGGTGTTTGAGGGATAAAAATGGGAATTCCCCACCTGTGCCCAGGCTGGCACTGTCCGCGGTCACCTTTGGCAGCAGACTTGGACTGGAAGGGCCCAGGGAAAAGGAAAGGAAGGGAGAAGGAGGAATTTGGGATTGGCTGCTCCACCAGGATCCTGGATCCCTCAGGAAGCGCTGTCACCCTCCCGGATGCCTTGATCCGAGTGCCAGGAATGCAGTGGGGGCAGGAATCGGGGGGGAAAGAGATGCAGGAAACACTCGGAGAAGGAGGAAGGAAAAAGAGGGACACGCTTGGAATGCGCAGCATTCCTGCATCCCTCACCCAGGGCATGTTTTCCCTCCAGGAAGAGGAAGGGACACGGGATCTGCACTTCCCTGGCCCCTCTCCCAAGGATGGATCCCAGGGATGGGACATTCCTGACCCTCTTCCCACCCAGGGATAGATCCTCAGGGATGGAATATTCCAGGCCATCTGCCCACCCAGGGATGGACCCTCAGGGATGGGATATTCCTGACCCTCTGCCCACCCAGGGATGGATCCAAGAACTCCAGGGAACATTCCAGTCCCTCTGCCCACCCAGGGATGGATCCTCAGGGATGGGATATCCCAGAACCTCTGCCCACCCAGGGATGGGACATTCCCAACACTCTGCCCATCCCAGGATGGATCCCAGGATGGGATATCCCAGAACCTCTGCCCACCCAGGGATGGATCCCAGGATGGGATATCCCAGAACCTCTGCCCACCCAGGGATGGGACATTCCCAACACTCTGCCCATCCCAGGATGGATCCCACCCTGATTCCAGGGAACATTCCAGCTCCTCTGCCCACCCAGGGATGGATCCTCAGGGATGGGATATCCCAGAACTTCTGCCCACTCAGGGATGGGACATTCCAGAACATCTGCCCACCCAGGGATGGATCCCACCCTGACTCCAGGGAACATTCCCAACCCTCTGCCCACCCTGGGATGGATCCCATCCAGATTCCAGGGAACATTCCAGCCCCTCTGCCCACCCAGGGATGGATCCTACCCTGACTCCAGGGAACATTCCAGACCCTCTGCCCACCCAGGGATGGATCCCAGGGATGGGATATTCCCCACCACAGGTTGGATCCCATCCAGATTCCAGGGAACATTCCAGACCCTCTGCCCACCCCGGGATGGATCCCATCCAGATTCCAGGGAACATTCCTGCCCCTCTGCCCACCCAGGGATGGATCCCATCCAGATTCCAGGGAACATTCCAGACCCTCTGCCCACCCAGGGATGGATCCCAGGGATGGGATATTCCCCACCCAGGGATGGATCCCAGGGATGGGACATTCCCCACCCCAGGATGGATCCCATCCAGATTCCAAGGAACATTCCCGCCCCTCTGCCCACCCTGGGATGGATCCCATCCAGATTCCAGGGAACATTCCCGCCCCTCTGCCCCCCCAGGGCAGTTTGGATGGGGAAGGGAAGGAGGGAAGGATCCCACCCGCTGAGATCAGCGGGATGCGATCCCACAGGGATCCTGCCCATCTCCAGTGTGTCCAGCAGGACCTGGGGCAGATCCCTGAGCTCCAGGAGGAGGCCTGGAATGATTTCATTCCTCTCCTGGCAGCTTTTCCAACGCCACGCTGGGGTTTGGTGCTCCCAGGAGGAGCTCAGCTGGCAGGGAATTCTTTTTCCCGTTCTGCTCCCACAGCAGGAGTCAGGACAGGGAAAAAACAGGAATTCTTGGATCAGATCAGGCTGATCCCTGCCCGTTCTGCTCTTCCCAGTTTCCCTCCCGTGTCCCATTTTATGCTGGAGATCCTTGGGAATTTTGGAGCTCCTTTGGAATTCTCCCAAAACCCAAAATCCAGCAACGCTTCACTATTTAATTTTTTTTTCTGGATGGTTTTCCAGCAGCTCGGGCGCAACGAGCTGGAATTTCAGGTTCTGGAATCTGTCCCTTGTCCCCATCCCAGCGGAGGAGCCGGTGTAATTAACTCCATCCTCCTTAATTACTTCCCGGGCTGCTTAATTGCTTTCTCGTCCTTAATTGCTGCAGGACAATGAGGGCAATTAAAGGGGGAGAGAGAGGGAGGGGAGGGAAACGGGGAGAGAAGCGGGAGCGGGGAGGAAAACGGGGAGAAAAACTGGGAGAAAAATTGGGAAGAAGGAGCTGGGAGGAAAATAAATAAGGAAGAACGACCGGGGAGAAAAATAGGGAGTTAAACAGGAAAGGGGGGGTCGGGAAGGAAAACAGGGAGGAAAACGGGGAGAAAAATAGGGAAGAAGGAGTAGGGAGAAAATCAGGGAGGAAAATGAATAGAGAAGAAGGAATGGGGAGAAAAATAGGGAATAAAACAAGGAAGCAGGACCTGGGGGGAAAACAGAAAGGAAAACAAGGAGGAAAAGAGCGAAGCAGGGCCGGGGTGGAAACAGAGAGGAAAACAGGGAGGAAAAGTGAGAGAAGCAGGATCCGAGAGGAAATCGGAGAACAGAACCAGGGAGAAAAGTAGGGAGGAAAACAAATAGGGAAGAAGGATCCGGGAGAAAAATAGGGAGGAGAACAGGGAAAGGGGGAAGGAAAACAGAGAGAAAAATAGGGAAGAACGATTGGGGAGGAAATCAGGGGGGGAAATAAATAGGGAAGAAGGAGCGGAGAGAAAAATAGGGAGAACGGGGAAAGGGGGCCAGGGAGGAAAACAGAGAGAAAAATAAGGAAGAAGGACTGGGAAGGGAATCAGGGAGGAAAATAAATAGGAAATAAGGACTAGGGAGGAAAATAGGGAGGAAAACAAGGAAGCAGGACTCGGGAGGAAAACTGGGAGGAAAAGAGAGAAGCAGGATCGGGGCGGAAAACAGCGAGGAAAATAGGGAGGAAAACATAGAGAAGCAGGATCTGAGTGGAAAACAGAGAACAGGACCAGGAAGGAAAACTGGGAAGAAAGACTCGGGAAGGAAAACCAGGAAGCAGGAGCTGCTCCGGTGCTGGGAGCTGGGGTATCCTAAGCCGTGCAGGGATGTGTCCCACCTACATTTTAAGCTGGGAGAGAGGAAGTTTGGGTGGAATATTGGGGAGGAATTTTTCCCCGTGAGGGCAGGGAGGGGTCGATGGAATTCCCAGAGCAGCTGTGGCTGCCCCTGGATCACTGGGAATGTCCGAAGCCTGGTTGGACACTGAGGTTTGGAGCACCTTGGGATAGTGGAAGGTGTCCCTGCCCGTGGCAGAGGTGGGGTTAAGGATCTTAAAGCTCCCTTCCCACCCAAAGCATTCCATGATTCCCGGATTCCCCAGTGCACTGAAGTTTGTTTGCCTTTTATTCCCTTGATATTCCACCACCGGCTCCAGCAAAGGCAAGGAGAAGACCAAGGAGCACAAGTAGGTTTGATCTCCCCACTCCTCCTCCTCCTCCTCATTCCCACTTTTTCCAGCTGATCCAGGTGGTTTGCTCTCCATCCTCCTCTTCATTCCCACTTTTCCACCTGATCCAGTTGCTTTGCTCTCCCTGCTCCTCTTCATTCCCACTTTTCCCAGCTGATCCAGCTGGTTTTCTCTCCATCCTCCTCCTCCTCCTCCTCATTCCCACTTTTCCCAGCTGATCCAGTCGGTTTGCTCTCTCTGCTCCTCCTCCTCCTCTTCATTCCCACTTTTCCAGCTGATCCAGCTGGTTTGTTCTCCATCTTCCTCCTCCTCCTCCTCCTCCTCCTCCTCTTCATTCCCACTTTTCCAACTGATCCAGTTGGTTTGCTCTCCATCCTCCTCTTCATTCCCATTTTCCCAGCTGATCCAGTTGCTTTGCTCTCCATCCTCCTCATCCT